CTGCCCGCGCCGGGTCGGAACCGCGCGGCGCCCGCGGCCTCGTGCGCGGGATCCTGCCCCGCGTCAGCACCGCGGTGCAAACAGCCCGGACGGGCATCCTGGATGCCCCTGGAGGTGCCCGAGCCCCCCAGTGCCAGGGTTTATTTGGAAAGGGACCCGGGCCGGGTTCGCCCGACCCTGCTCCCCATCTGTGCCCGCGGGCGCTGCTCGCCTTCCCTCCTCTGCCCTACTTTTCTTCTTTTATTTTTCTGCCTTGTCTTTTAAACACTGTAAAAATTTAATACAAAGGAAATTAAAAAACCCAGAGGAACCATTCTCAAAATCATTTCACAATCTGCACATATCCCTCAGCAAATTTAATTTGTAGGAAATAGAGAACAAAATATGACAATAAAGGGCCTCTAAACAAACCCTAATGCTTTGCATGTGTAGGCGCGAATGGCGTGCGCGGGCCGGGGCACTCGCGTCCTGCCCGCGCCCACGGTCCCGCTCCGGCCGCGGTACCCGGGAGGCTTTGGGGCGCAGCCGGAGCAGGGAGGTGATGCCCAATGCCCATGGCGCCTGCTTGCTCCCGGATTGCATGGAGAGCTGGCAGTGAATCCCAGGCCTGGGCGCCTGGCATGCCGGGCTGTGCCATGCTGTGCCGTGCCATGCTGTGCTTTGCTGCATTGCATCGCGTTGTGCCATGCCATGTCATGCTGTGCTGTGCCACATCATGCCCTGCTGTGCTGTGCTTTGCTGCATTGCATCGGGCTGTGCCGTGCCATGCCATTCCGTGCCATGTCATGCTGTGCTGTGCCACATCACGCCGTGCTATGCTATGCTGGGCTGTGCTTTGCTGCATTGCACTGTGCTGTTCCGTGCAATGCCATGCCGTGCCATGCTGCATGATGCCACACCGCACCACGCTTTGCTGCACTGCACCGTGCTGTGCCATGCCATGCCGTGCCGTGCCATGCCGTGCCAGCCGTGCCATGCCTGTGCTTTGCTGCCTTACACCATGCTGTGCCATGTGATGCTGTGCTGTGCTGTTCCATGCCATGCTGCATGACCCTATGCTTGTCCTTGCTGTGCCATGCCATGCTGCATGATGCCACACTGCACCGTGCCGTGCCATGCCGTGACATTCTGCAGCGTGGTGCAC